CTGTTTGCAAAGGATCGAGATTCCTATTTCCTCCTATCAAATCTTTATTTGCATTTTCATTTACTTTGTGTCTCACTAACATGAGAGGCATCATATGGTAGTTAAGCTTGCCTGTCTGAGTTATTTCACTTAACACTGTATTTTCCAGGCATATCCATTTTCCTACCAATGTCTTGAATTTATTCTTCCATTATGCATAGATATCACATTTTCTTTATCCTTTCATCTGTTGATGGACTTACAGGCTATTTCCAGAATTTAGCTATTATGAATTGTGCTGCTATAAACATGGGTATGCATGGATCACTGTAGTATGATGTCTTTAGCTCTTTTGGGAGGGTCCCTAGAAGGGGACTAGTTGGGTTACAATGGAATTTCTGATTTTAGTCCTTTGAGGGATCTCCATGCTGATTTTTATACTGGTTGCACCAGTTTACACTCCCACCAATGAAGGAGTGTTCCCTTTTCACCACAGCCATAGTGACATTAGTTATTTGATTTTTTTTTTTGTATTTTTACCAGTACCAGGGATCGAACTCATGACCACACGCTTGCAAGGCAGGCCTTATGCCACTGAGCTAAATCCCCAGCCCCAGTTATTTGATTTCTTAATGATAGCCATTCTTTCTGGAGTGAGATGGAAATTTGTTGTTTTAATTTGCATTTCTCTCATAACCTGTGAGGCTGAGCGTTTTTCGTTTTGTTTATTAATCATTTGTACTTATTTTGAGAAGTGTCTTCATTTCACCCCCTACCCATCTATTTTTTGATTGGGTCTTTTATATGGGAGTGTGTATAAATTTTTGAGTCCTTTATATATTCTAGGCATTAGTCTTCTGTCTGCATCATAGCTGGCAATCTTTTCCCCTACCCTGGCTGTCTCTTCACTGCATTGATTGTTTCTTTGCTGTGCAGAAGCTTTTTAGCTTGATGACCCCATCTGTTGATTCTCAGTGTTATTTCTGGGGTTCTCTTTAGCTGCGACTTCAAGAGCTGCACCTGTTTGACCTTTCAGTAGATTTAGTGTTTCTGTTTTCAGTGTTCAGATCTTTGCTCCGTTTTGATTTTCATTTCGTCCATTGTGAAGGAGAAGCATCTGGTTTCAATCTCCTGCACATAGATAAGGCTTTGACTTTTGCTTCCCATCATTCTTACCGGCAAGGAAGCCGTGTCAGGGTTTCTTTTCTGATTTGCTACAGGGCCCTGGCATCCCCGCCTCATCACCAGGGCAACAGGTTAACATCTAGTCAGGCAGCCAATTAGAAGCCTGGGTTTCCTCCGGAGGCCGGTAGCAGTTTCTAGGCTTCTGAGTGATTGATAATTGACGCAAGTCCTCGTTGTTCAAATTCTATTTCAAGGACAAAAGCATATTAACCAGAGGAGAGAAAGCTGTTGACAGCTGTGAATGAATATTCATAAGACAAAGCAGTGTACAAGGTGGAAAAATCCTATGTGGCTTCATGAGACAGGGACTCTTCCTCTGGGGGCTTTTAGAAACTCTTGTTTTGCCTAACTATAATTTAAAAGATAAGGACTGGCTTTTGCAGACGGGAAGGAGACCAAGAGGCAGAAGGGGGAGGGAGAGAAGGGCAAGGGAAGGAATGAAAGAGGAATTAGGGTGTGTTATGTACAAGTAGCAGCTGTCCGTGAGGAATTTAATCCTTATGCTCTGCAAATATGCACTAATAAAATAAAAAAAAATAACATTGGGTGATGATGGTTACATGATTGTATGCATATGACACAATAAAACCTAATTTAGATAAACTGTTCTAATGAAAAATCAAACATTCACACAGCAGGCAGATATCTATATCCACACCCACGTCTATGTCTATTTACATCTACATCATCCATATGTATATGTATATCTCCTTGTTTTAAACTCTGCTTGGGAAAAACAAAACACATAGCAGGCCAATGCATCTATATCTACACCGTCTGTACCCACATGGTCTGTACCCATTCCCGTATCTTCATCTGTGTCTTTGTATCCAAAAAACATAGCCCATGTCAGTTGTGCTTCCATAAAACTGATTTTAAAATTACAGACATGTGACTCTTCTGTTATTTCTAGGACTTTATCTGACAGCATTAGATGTGAAATTGAGGTCAGTCGATGCCTCATCTTTACTGGTCGAAATTGGGCACTGTTAGGGATTAAGAACTGGTGGTCAACTTAATGTCAGCTGGATTAAATCGGCACGGTGCTGAGCATAGATGCTCCACCTGAGGAAAGTTGCCAGCATAAATAGAGATGTGGAGAAGGAGAAGCTATGTGTTGAGGCCTTGAGGCATTGTGGGTTCTCCTATGTGTTGCTGTTTGAGCCCTTGGTTCTCCTGGAGAAGCTCTGGTCCTCACATCGAGCATTGCTTCCTGGCTCCGGAGGGGGAACCTTGTGCCCCTTGGTCTCCAGGATGAACTCATCATGCTGGCTTTCTGGCATGTACTTGACTGGGCTTGTCGTCAGAGGAGCTCAGGGCCTCTGTGTCGCTGAGGATGGCTGTGGTGCTTTCAGGACAGCCCTGGTCTTTGTTTTGAGTGTGACTTCTCGGCTCCAGTGTAGAACCCTCAACCTACCAGCACAGCTCCTTCACCCCGCTGCCATAGGCTTTCTAGCTTCTACTGCTGACCTTTGGGCCTTTCTAGTGAGGATCTGTAAAAGGGACTGGTGTGAGTCCTTGTGGGCTCTGGACCTTCAGTTGGACTTGTGGAAGGCATTGTCATGAGCTCTGGGTCTTCATCTAGATTCATGTGGGACCCAGGCCCTTGGTTGAATACTTCAGGTCTTTAGAGTTGTGGATAGATTTCTTGCATTTTCTTGTGTTAACTCTGGGTGGCCATCATAAAATATTACAAACTCCATGTCCTGATTTTAATTGTTCTCTGCATAACCCCTGACTACAACAGGCACATAGAAGGATTTTAGAAGAGAATCAAGGGATACATCATGCTGCCCCAAGGGGTTTCAAGCCAGATCCCTGGAGAATCCAGAGGCTCTGTGTGGCACCCTGCGCAAAGCTGTTCCTTTCTCCTGCACCCTTCCAAAGCTCATATCTGAAAAGTTAAAGCCAGGATTCTCAAGCATAATCAGAAAACTAAAACAAATTATTTTTCTGGTATAGGGAATGCAACCAAGAGCTTGTAATTCTGGGTAAGTGCTCTATCACTGAGCCACCCATCCAGTCTGCCAAAAAATTTTGTTCTTGCAAAACTCTTTGTTTCTAGGCTGTGTCTGAGGGACTGCAAGACGGGATGAGCTGGTACTCCACAAGCGGGGCGGTGGAACATGAAAGTAAGCCCCAAGTCTCCCAGAAGGATCAGGGCCAGACAAGAGGGAGACCTGTCCCAAGCAGGCTCCTGAATTCCCTGTCATGCTTGTTCATTTTCAGTCTCTTACAATCAGTGCTCTCCAATCTGCCCCAGGACCTTGGGACGTGTTATGCCTGCTACCAGAATGCCCTTGGTGGCTCATTCTCCCAGTGGCCTTTGATTCTTCTTCCACAAAATCTTTCCTGGATTCACCCCTGGTGGGGTCAGACAGTAAGGTCAGAAGTTCTCCTGGAAACAGGTTCTTCTCCTTCTGGGCAGAAAGGTACCTGAGGCTGCTCAAATATTCTGGTGATCTCTGCGTTCACTTGGCAGATGAGGGGTTTATACGGCTGGGTGAGTATCCATCCATCACCTGCAGCACACCCAAAGGTTAGCATGTAATAGACGCACACTAAACAGCGCACCCCTTTGAACCCTTACTCAGGGATCTCATGCCCCCATAGCATAGTCAGTAAAGTACATGCATGGCCAGGCATGGGGGTGCATGCTTGTAATCCCAGAACTGGGGAGGCAGAGGCAGGAGGTTGCCATGAGTTCAAGGCCAGCGTACGCTACACAGTCTCCAAAAAAAAATTTTTTTTTAAGGGTTAGAGATTTAGCTCAGTGGTGTAAGTGCCTGCCTGGCAAGTGCAAAGTTCGATCCCCACAAAGTTTTGTACCACAAAACAAAACTTTTTTCCTTCTGGAGGTGGATGGTGACAGTTGTAGAACAATGTGACTGTCCTCAATGTCCCCTGAATTGTACACTCAAATATGGTCAGTTCTAGGCCCTGTGCATTTTACTACGTAAAAGTCCACTGTGTTGGAAACAAACAAAAATAAAATAGCCACCTCGCTTTCTGAGTCGGCAGTCCTACAGGAACTGGCTGGACCTGGTCTTCGGGCCACTGTTCGTCAGTTTTGCTGTGGGATTAATCACAGTTAGCCTCACTCACCCCGACACGAGCCTGTGAGTGTGAACACATCCCCGGTGCTCACTGGTACAGCTGCACAGTCTCAGCTGAGCGTGAATTCTCCGCTCCGGATGCGAATCCTTGTTCCTGGGCCTGATTCTCAGAACACAGCTGCTGGAATTAACTCTGGGCACCACCCCGGATGTGGCAGTTACCTGGAGAGGGACACTTCTGCCAGGAGGAGGGTGCGGTCCCCCTCTGAGCCCCCGAGTCTGCCCCGGGGGACTCCTGTGGGCCCTGTGCTGGCTTCTTAGGTGGACAGGTCCTGCATGCAAGGTGTGAAGAGCGGATGAAGAGAAAAACAAGAGAAACAGAGCTATAGAGTCAGCTGGCCACGGCCTCGACCATGCTTGTACTTCAGCCTTTTACAGACGATCATTGCACAGGCAGTGAGAGGAAATGGGGGGGGGGAATGCTAAGTGCACGCAGGGCAGTCACTGTTTAACCACCTCAGGGACTGTTACTGTCTTTGCCAGCCATCTTATTTGCTTTCCTTCTGGACTTATCTTAACAAAACATCTTGCGTTGTCCAAGTGGCATTCTGTGCAGACCCAGGTCCTATTTTCAGTTCCTTATACACGACATTTTTGTTTTAATGCACAATGATCTTGCAAGACATCCTCCTGAGCACACATTCATGCAACCTATCAGTTTCCACAGTCCCAGGTTAGCACACATGAAATACATATTTAGTTAGCAATTCCTACATAATCCTGCAATCCCGGAGGTGGGTGGGCAGGGCCGAGCACCAGGGTATTTATTAGAGGCGACAGGAAAGTCCATACCCAGAGTCCTGCAAGGGAGAGAGAGTGGTGGTGCCAATTTAGTGGACGGGGTCTTGCTGAGCTCACGGAGCAGGTGAGTGACGGCTGCTTCTGCCCTCGCTGGAGTCCCAGGCCAGTGCCCAGGGCCAAAGCTGGGGCTCTGTCTTTGTCCCTGCAGGGATCTAGGCTTCCTGGTCCTCCTTTCGCATGCAGAAAGGGCCTAACTCAGAGGTGGGTCCCTTGTTCCCTCTGGTAGCACCTGCATGATGAAGGCCGTGTTTCTCCTCCTCTTCCTCCCCATCCTGGGGCTGCTGGTGTCCAGTCAGTCACTGTGTCCGGTTGATGAAGCCATCAATCAGAAGATCCAGCATCAAGCCAAGTCTCTAAGTGAGGACCCCCTTACCCAACTCACCATGGCCCCAGGGGGCCATGGCCTCCAGGACCCTGTCCACCAACCTGCTCCCAGTCCAGCCCTAGCGCCAACCAAACCTTCTCCAGCCCACCCTAGTCCTCCCTTCCGACCCTCACCCAACCCCATCTCCAGCAAAGGCCCAAACTCAATCCAACTTCCCCAACCCCCACAACCTGCACCTCCAAACCTCACCTAAGTCAAGGCAGAGGGGTCCTGTCCCCTCACCAGGCATTTCTTCCCCAGGGGAATGTCTTTCTTTTGGTGATGATTGAGCCCAGGCCTCTGGCTTGCCGGGCAAGCGCTAGCCTACTGAACTTACAAAGTAGCCCTTTCCCAGGGAAACAGGGTCTCAATACTAAGTAGCTGTGTTCAGCTGGGCTTGAAGTTGCAACCTTCCTGCCTCTGCCTCCCAGATAGCTGTGATTACAGGCCTGTACCACCACATCCAGCTATAGGGCAAACACTGGATTCTGTGTCTAACTCCAAGTCACCAGGGCCCTTGGGGCACTGAGGGTGAAGGACAGCCGGGTCTCACAGATGGTCTCATCCCCTCCCCTGCAGTTTTAGGGTCTCTGAACGCTGTGCCACTAGACTGCAGAAGCGTCTCCTCCAGGGGGTCCCTGGCCACATGTCCCGCAGGTGAGTACAGATCCCCCCACCCATGTTCAGCTGGAGCCCCAGCCTTCCCCCTCCATCCCAGCCCAGAGATGCCATCTCCTTAGCACCGTGTTGCCCAGACCCGCAGCCCCATCCCCGCATCCGGCGGCTCTATCCATGCCCATCCATGCCGCAGCCTCCCACTTCGGGTCCAGGTGCTCCCCAGCCCCTGCCCTGGTCTCCCTGCAGGCTTCGCGGTCACTGGCTGCGCGTGTGGCTCGGCTTGCGGCTCATGGGACGTGCGCGCTGAGACCACGTGCCACTGCCAGTGCGCGGGCATGGACTGGACCGCGGCGCGCTGCTGTCGTCTGCACGTGGCCTCCTGAGCTGTGGGTGCCATAGCATGACTTTGCGGGGCTGAGGAAGTGGGGCGAGCATGAGAGGGGAGCTGGAAATAAACCAGGAGATGTGACTGTGCGTGATTTCTTCAGCGTTGTGAGGCTCGGGGTACTGATCCGGCCCCCCTGAAAAATGCCACTTTCTAGCTCCTTCAGGGAAGCGGGGAACCTGGACTTTCTGGTGCCCACTTTCCTTCTTCCCTGGTTTCTCCCAACTCTTCTTCCAAGAATGAGACCTCCGTGTCATCTAGTGTCACCCCAGGCGAGGCTTGGAGGCCACCTTGATGGTCACTGTGGGTCCCAGGGCCCCACAGAACTTCCTGGCTCTTTCTGTGTCACCCCCCAGAGGGAGGCTTCACCAGACTCTAGGTCAGGCTGCTGGCAGATGCGTCCCGGTGTCATGGTAGACTCCCAACTTGTCCTCAGCAGGAGCCCTGAGCCGCTAACTGCATACCCCCAACTTGAGGAAGAGGGACCCCCAGACACAGGCAGTCAGGTGGAGCCGGAGGAATGGCTCCCTTGGCCTGCTGAGAACGTCTCCTTGGGGCTGGGAGTCACAAGTTCATGTTTCAGCACGGGCAGCTGCAAGTTGAAACCCTCACAGTCGGCTGTGCCCGGGGCACTTGCACCCTGTGAGTGCTAGACCTGAAGAGCCAGCTGGTGCAGGAACGCACACTTGTGATCTCAGCTGCCCAGGAGGCTGAAGCAGGAAGATCTCGAGTCTGAGCTCAGCCTGGACAACTCAGGGAGACCTTGTCTGGCAAACAAGAAAGGAACTGGGGTGCAGTCCAGTGTGAGATCTGGGGTTCAATCTCTAATACAGCGAAACAAAATAAACAGAAGGGGAAAAAATCCACCTAGAATGGAAGACTTCTTGGCTCCTTGTAGCTTAGACAGAGCATGGCACACAGTGAGCGCTTGGGCCATGTGTAACACCCTTAGATATGCCATGCAAGGATGGGTACCACATGTGTGCGCTCTTACACACAGCCGCACACACAGAGTACACCATAGTCACCACAGCACTACAGGGTTTTTTTCCTTTGAGGGGAGGCTTGAGACAGGGTCTCGCTATGTAGTCTAGGCTGGCCTTTAATTCATGGTGATCCTCCTGCCTCAGCTTCCCAAGTGCTAAGGTTACAGGCAATGCCACCAGACTCAGGGAACACGTTTGTCTCCTTTCTTTTCTTTAAAACGCCTCCTTCCTCTTGGACAGAATCTCACTATGTTCTCAGGCTGGCTCCAAATTTGCTATTATGTAGCCCAGACTTGTCTTGAACTGGAAATCTTTCTGCTTCATCCTCCTGAGTGCTGGGATTACAAATGTGATTTCTATTTAAAAAAAAAAAATTGGGACTATTCTTCCATGAAAGGCAGATGCTAGCCAGGCAACACTATGAATGTTCCCTGCATGACATGGCTGCTTGTGGGGCCCCAGTTTTTGCAGCTAAAGGAAACTGAAGCTGGTGTGATGGTGCACGCTGTAATCCCAGAGCTTGGGAGGCTGAAGCAGGAGGATTGCCATGGGTTTGAGGCCAGCCTGGACTATATAGTGAGTTTGAAGCCAGCCTGGTTATATAGTGAGTCTCTGTGTGTGTGTGTGTGGGGGGGGGACAGAGAAGGAGAGCGAGAGCGAAAGGAGGAGGGAGAGGAGGGGGAGGAGAGCAGGGAGGGGGGAGGAGGAGGAGGAGGAGACGACGACGACTACTGCAGCGGGGCCTGCAGAAGGCTACAGGGTCTCAGACAGATTCAAACCCGACAATGCCTCAATTGCTGTAGGCCCGCCTCCTCACTTGTCCATCAGAGCAGAGCCCGCTTCTAATTGGTCGGTCTCCTCCGGGCTGTTGTAACCTAATGCCTGACTTTTTTTTCTTAGACCTGGTGTCGTGGAGCTGGCGTCCAATCACTATTACATCGATTTTTCCTGGTGAGAAAGGATTTGGCAATGTTTTGGAGGCAACATTATCTTCACTAGATGGCAGTGACTGTTCCAAAGTTACCTTGAAGGCAGCCACTTATTTTAAACCAAGCTATAGCAGAACTCACTTCCTGCATAAGATCAGAAAATCTTACACAGGTTGCACTGTCCAAGAGCAGTCTTTTAATATTTGAAATATGGCCAATCTGGAGTGAGGAGAGCCTTAGGGCAAATGCACACTTGATCTCTGAGACTGGAACGTGAAACAAAGGGAGATAAGGAAAAAAGATTAACTATAAGCTACCTTCTTAACAATTTATCAATTATTTTTATTTTTGAGACCGGAGGAGTCTCATTGTGTTGCTTGAATAGTTCGTTCTGAACTTCTGGGCTTGAGTGATCTTCCTGCCTCAGCCCCTTGAGTGGCTGGAACTGCAGATGCATGCTGCCACACCCAGCCTCATTAATAGTTTTTATTTTTCGAGACAGGGTCTTGATAGGCCGTGCAGGCTAGGCTTGAACTCAGTGTGTAGCAGGATTCCATCAGAGGGCAGGCATATGGGTCAGACCTCAGTCCCCAATGTGGTCATGGAGGTGCAGGAGTTAACTGTCATTGCTTCACATCTTTCCTCCACAGGACTCTGTGAGTGTGTGTGTGTGTGTGTGTGTGTGTGTGTGTGTTACTGGGAATCAAATCCAGGGCCTCTGCACTGAGCTACATCCCTACATCTCTGATCTCTCTTTACTTGGAGACTAAATCACTAAATTATCCAGGCTGGGGTTCAAACTGCCACCCTTCTGCCTCAGCCTCCCAGAATACTGGGGTTACAAGGGCACACTATCATGCCTCGCTCCGTAGACCTTAAAGAAGAAGAACTAGGGGTAGGGGGAGGGGGCTGCACTGGAGCTCAGGGAAGGAAGACGTAGGCGGACAGGAAATCCTTCCTCTTAATGCCACAGTCCTTACCCTACTAGGCGTGAGCTGGGGCCATCAGCTTCTTTATTGAGACAAAAGACAACAAAAGACAGAAGGGAGGAAGGCGGCCTTGTTCATCCAATCTCCGTCTCTGTCTACACACACACACACACACACACACACACACCCTTTCCTGTAAAGTTCCTGTTCCGAGTCTGGGGGCTTCTTTGCTTTGCCTCCTCTGAGACAGGATCCCTCAGACCCTCTTGCGCTTGGTGGCAGTGACAGTGTCCCAGGGCAGCAGAGTCATGGATCCCTGAAAAGTGGCCGGGCCTCATTTCCTTCCCCAACCCCGAGATTTCCTCATCTGCCACACCACTTCCGGTGGGCGGGATGTGTGGACTGGCAGGCAGGCCAGCAGGCTACGTGCCATGGAGCCTTGGAGACTGATGTGAAGCAGCAGGTCACCATGCAGAAGGCGAACTTCAAAGACAAGTGCCGGGGGGAGCCGGGCAACAGCAAAGGTCAGGACCTGTGGGGTGGGGAGAGGATGATGGAGATGGATCTGGGCACCGGTGGGCCACACAGCCCCACATACCCCCGGAGCACCCCAAAAATGATCTGTGTGCAGGGCTGAGGGCCTCTGGCAGTTCTTTCCAAGCCTCCTCCCCAAATCACACACAGACACCGGTGATCCTGAGTATGAGAACATCACCCTGACCTTCCGAGAGCGGGACCAGCCCAAGGGCAGTCATCCAGGACCCATGAAATGCGGTGAGTAGCCACCTGCCCGTCCCTAGCGCACCCGGCTTGGGAAGGGGAACTTCGAGGTTTCAGTGAGTGGTGTGACAGTGTGGGGGTAGCTTTCTGGTGGCAACAGTGATGGAGTATCTAAAATGTTACTGCTGGTGCTCTGATGATCGTGTTGGAGAGACCGTAAGTGACAAGGTAGTTGATGGGGAAGAAGAGGTGTCAGAGCTGGTTGAGGGTACAAATGAAGCTCCTTGATGGTGACACTGTTGGCGACCAACACTGACATTGGCAGGTTCTAGTGACAGAGTTCCTGCGGGGTCTGCGTTGGTGACAGTGAGGTACGGCTGCTGTGGAAGGGACTGGTGGCGGCTGAGTCACTGATGGTGACTGTGATGGACCCAGCCGTGGAAGTGTTGGAGCAGCCAGTTGCTGATGGTGTGTTGATGGTCTGGCTGGTGGCATGAGCCCTGGTGGTCACCTGGCCTCTCTGTCCCAGCCCCTGCCCAGCCCAAGTCACCTTCGGGCAGTGCCCAGGTCCCTGCGTGGCTGCAGCGGTCCATCATGAGCCTGTACGTGCTCCTCGCCCTCATGTTCCTCTTCTGCATCATCCTCTCCGCCTTGGTCTTGGTGAAGAGTGAGTGTGCTCAGGGGAGGGCGAGCTGGGGAACCCAGAGTCCCCCCAGACCTGTTCCCTTCCTGCCAGCTCTGCCCCCAGCTCTGCCTTCTCCTAAACAGACACTGAGATGTCCAGGGAGATGCTGCACTTGAGAAGGGAACTTTCCAATGGTGCGTGTGGGTTCTGCGGGAGGCCTGAGGGGGGTGGAGGGCTCAGGGGAGAGGGGTGTCACCCAGACATGGTGACTCCATGCTCTCAGTCTCAAACTCGGCGTTGGAGTGCCAGGAAGAGCAAAGGAATGGCTGGAGCAAGGTCCACAGTGACATCGAGAAAGCCACCAACAGCATCACCAAGGCCTTGAATCCTATCGATACTAAGAACCAGCAAGTGCTCACAGGTGCCCCTGGCAGAGTCACCCTCCTGGGGGGGGGGAACCTGTTCCACAGCCCACACCTGGCGGGTGAGGAGGTGCTCAGGGTTTGGGGGGGGGGCAAAGGGTGATGCTGAGTCTCTCACCAGGGAGCCCCAGCGACAGGACGGTGAGGAACCCCAGGCTGGAAGCTGTCCGGAGGGGGTTCCCAGTGGAGGGGGAGGTTTGTCTGAAGGCTGAACCCCAGCATCACTGGTCTCCCTCTCTCCCATCAGAAATAACAAAAATCACACAGAAGATACAGAAAATCCACGAGGCACTGGAGAAGAAGACAAATGCAGGCAAGTTGGGGCCCAGGGACGTGGCTTGTGGGTTTTTCCTGGGGCATGGGGGGCCTGACCCTGCATTCTCCCTTCCTCACCCAGCACCTGCGTCTAAATAAGAGCACACGGCAGTCACAGTTTGGAGGACAGGATTCATGACTGCTCAGGCGATGGAGCATGGATGGGTTCCCCAGCCTAGTTGAACCTGCGCCTCGTTCTATGGCTGGAAAACAATGCATCAGGGTGAATGAGGGCTGTGGCGTTGTGCATGTGTGTGCCTGTGTGTGTGAACATGAAAGAGCACTTTATGCAGAATGTCCCTGCATCCTAAGGAATGGGTGTGAATGTATGTTGTGTCTGTGTCATTACATGTGACACACACGTATATGCCATGACATATGTGAGCACAGGTATTTCTCAGTGGGTGTCTGTGTAAGGACCCCACTAGTGTGTGTGTTGGTGCTATGTGACACCCCTCTCCCTGTCAGCACACACAGCTAGGAGCACACTGTGCAGCTCACTCGGGTGTCGCCATGTCTGCCCTGTCCCTCCCTGTGCCTGTGTGAATGGGTGTGTCCGACTATGTCATCCTGTGTGTTCAGATCACACACACACACAGGAGTGTGTATACTTATTCCTGAACTCACGCTTTGTGACTAATAAAAAAATAAAAATGTATGGAAAACAATGTGGTTTTTGACCTGTTCCTGGAGTAGCTGAGGAGAGCTGGGGATGGCAGGTGTGAAGGTCCCCGAGATGGGATGTGTTACACACTGAGCATGCACACGCCGTGGGGAGCCCTGGGGCAGAAGGATGGACAAGAATAAATGCCCAGCATGACGTCCTGTGCTCTGGGTGAATGATTGGGTCCACAATGCGCAAGGTATGTATCTTTATTGTTCCTTGATTGATGTGTTTTGAAATTTAGTTTTAGTTTTCTTTTTTTCCTTGAAATAAAATGAATTTGAAAAAAAGTATTTTAAGATTGAGGCAATAAAAATAAATGCCCTGCATAGGTCCTGGGCGGCCCTGGGTCCTAGCGTGCGTGCCCCATGCAGGCAGCGGGACACAGGCATCGCCCGAGGCGCACCCGGATCTCTGAGTTGCTCGGCGTGTGCCTCTAGGAGCAGCTGTGTCCCGAGGATCCCGGGGTCACTGAGCACGCACGCCTCGGCGAGCATACTGCATGCACTTAAGTGAGCCCAGAGAACTCGTGCCCAACCTCGCACACGCAGCTCCGGGACGAGAGCTGTGAGCTCGACGTGCTGAGGCTCGGAGCAACGGCTCACAAGCGCTTCCGCCCAGCGCAGTCGTCTAACTCAACAGCCCAGCCCCGCAGCCCTTCCGCCGTTGACCCCTTGCGCACGCACGCCCCCTTGCGGCCGCTATCAGGCGCCTCCGCGCCCCGCCCCCGGTTTGCCGCGCCTGCGCACGCAGCGCCTTTTACGGCACCGTAAAGCAGCTCGGCTGGAGGGTGCGCCGCGGTTTCTGGTGAGGTGCTGCCGGCTGGTGACCCCTACCAGTATCGCGCGTCGTCTTCTCCCCGATACTTCCCCGCGAGTCTGTGCGTACCGAGTCGGCTCTTCCGTTTTCGCGGCCCAGTCTCTCCTCTTTGTCCCGCTCTTAGGGGTTGGGAGCAGGGTGGGCTTCTTTTCGGCCTTGACACTGGCGGGGGTTTTGGGGTCCCGGGGTGTCGGGGCCTCAGCCCTGAGGTGGCCAGCCCACTACCCCTTCAGCTGGTGAGATGAGGGGGTGTCAGTGCCCCCTGTGCCATCACCTGCACCCCGGGGTAGGGCGTCCGGGATTCCCGGAAGGCCCCCTTTTCCCCCACTGGCCCGCGGGTCCCCCCACCCCACGCGGACCCTGGGGGTCATCTCGGCATCCATGTAACCCCATCCGTGCTTGATAGGAGCCAGGTTCCCCTTTCTCCCCCTTGACCCCCACCCCCGTGGTAGAGCTTCACCCTAGACGCGCAAGGTTGGAGTGGGTGACCCTGGCAGCCCCACACCCCGCTTCCCGCGTCCCTATAACGCCTGCTGTGGCTTAGTGCACCGCCTGGGAAGGATCACAGCGCCCTCTCCTGGTCCCCCAAGTCCCCCGAGGGTCGTGACCGTGTGCCCCTCTGTAGTTTCCCACAACCCAGCAACTTTTTCTAAAGAGTTTGGAGGTGGGAGCCCCCAACATCTTCTCGGGGCCCCTTTCTCAGAACCCACCCAGGACACGGTGGCAGGCTTCCCGCGTGACTTACCCAAGCTGGCAACGGGGTTATTTCCCTGTGCCGCCTCCTGCCTCGGTCCAGGGATCTGGCTCCCGAGCCCCCAGCTATTCCCCGCACACACCTGTACCCCTGTCGCCCAGCTATTCAGGCTTCAATTAGGGCGGGCGGGCAGGTTGCCAAGATAGCACTGATGCAGATGGATAGGGTGGGCATCGTCCCAGGGCGCCCGTCGAGAGTTGTACCTCAAGTCTCCCCATCAGGTCCTCTCCCCAGCACCCCTGACACCCGCTGTCCTGGTCTCTGCGCAGGGCGGCGGAGGCATGGAGGCGCGCTTTACGCGCGGGAAGTCGGCGCTGCTGGAGCGCGCGCTGGCGAGGCCACGCACCGAGGTGAGCCTGAGCGCCTTCGCGCTGCTCTTCTCTGAGCTGGTGCAGCACTGTCAGAGCCGCGTCTTCTCTGTGGCCGAGCTACAGGCGCGCCTGGCGGCACTGGGTCGCCAGGTGGGTGCGCGTGTGCTGGACGCGCTGGTGGCCCGGGAGAGGGGTGCCCGGCGTGAGACCAAAGTGCTGGGAGCATTGCTGTTTGTCAAGGGGGCCGTGTGGAAGGCGCTCTTCGGCAAGGAGGCTGACAAGCTGGAGCAGGCCAACGATGACGCCCGCACGTTCTACATCATCGAGCGGGAGCCGCTTATCAACACCTACATCTCTGTGCCCAAGGAGAACAGCACACTCAACTGCGCCAGCTTCACAGCAGGCATCGTGGAGGCTGTGCTCACTCACAGCGGGTTTCCCGCCAAGGTCACAGCTCACTGGCACAAGGGGACCACGCTCATGATCAAGTTTGAGGAAGCTGTCATCGCCAGAGATCGGGCCCTGGAGGGCCGCTGAACCCGCGGGAGATAAAGGATGCAGAGAGCCTCCCTTCCCAAGTGTGTCTTGTATGTTGTGTGGGGGCCTCAGACGTCTGCTCAACACCTCGACCCAGGTCCCTGTCCAAAGCTGGTGAGGGAGGTTGAGGGCCAAGGATGTTTATAATATGGGGGCCGTGGGGGGGGGGTTGTTCTGTGGGGTATGGCCTCTCTGGCCTTGTGTGGGCTTTCAGATAAGCCTGGAGAGTTGGATGAGTCAGGTGGGTGGACCAGGGGAGGAAGCCAGTGGAAATGCTGGGGCTTTGAGGAATCACAGTGAGGGGTGGTTGGCAGGCTGGAAAGGAGGTCGAGTCTGGTGTGTGTGTGTGTGTGGTCAGAACAAGAGAAAAACGGGTTGGTAGACTGTCTGGGAGCAAAGAGTAAATAGTTCATACCATGCAGTTCATGTACTGTTTTTATGCTTTCTGAGACGGGGTCTTCCTATGCAGTTCAGTCTGGCCTTGAACTCACTTTGTAGCCCAGGCTGGGCTTGAACTCACAGTGATCCTCCTGCCTCAGCCTCCTGAGTGCTGGGTGAGAGGTGTGCACCACCACACCTGGCAGTGTACTCTTGGTAGTCAGAAAAGAGCCAGAGGTAATAGTAATGAAATAGCTGTGGCCATGTACCTATAAAACCCTGAGAATGTGTGTCCCAGTGCCCCGTAGAATTCTTCTGTTCTAGGTGTGGTCCTTGGGCCAGTGCCACCAGCATTGCCCGGGGAAACTTAGTGCAAAGTCTCAGGCGCACCCCAGACCTCCCAAATCAGTCTGTATTGTGGAACAATTCCCAGGGATCCCCATGTGCTTTAGTTCGAGAAGCAGTGTTTTAGGGGGTCAGGGCTGTCTTGAGGACTCCTTAACTCAGGGGTGACTGAGTCTCACATTGTGTGGGTTTGGGATGCGCCTGAGAATTTGCACCTGTGACCTGGGCTCCCCAGGGACCACACTTTGAGGATGACGGCTCCAGAGACTTGCCTGTCACGGGATGGGAGTACAGCGTTGTCTGGACACTAAGAATGTGTTAAAGTTAGTTGTAAAATACCCAGTCGGTTCCTGAGCATATTTGAACAACTACAAGGTCTCCTGTCAGGTGGTCTTACTTTCCCTCTTCCCACTGCTTGTAGTCCCTGACTGCTCGCTCTTCCCAGGAATTACTGCTGATTTTTAGGGGAAACCTAGATCCAGTCTTCCTCATTTTTTCCCCTCTGCCTCCAGGATCCAAATAAATCTGTCCCAAAAGGGAACCATCCGAACCTTTAGCTGGGTGACCTCACTGTTTAAGAGAAAGGTTTGAGGTCGGAGTGGGTGTAGGTTTTCCGGGACCTGTTGGGGGCGCCCTAGGGCCAGCTCCAAGGGGTGTGTCAGCCATCCCCAAAGAGGTAATGGCTTGGGCTGGACTCCAGTGTGTTAGAAAGAAGGCAGTGTGAGCAGGGTAGGGGAAGCTTGGCACGGCACAGCCAGCCGTGGAGAAATCGTGGGCTGTGGGAGGCAGGCGTGTCAGGCTCTGGGAGAGCATTGGGCAGGGTGCCAGCTTGGATCTGGAGTCCATCGGAGTGGAAGAGGCCAACAGGTGTGCAGGTGTGGGAGTTTGTGCAGAGTGAAGCCAGAGGCAGAGAAGGGCCGGAGGGGCCATTGATGGGGAAAGGGAAGTGGGTAAGATGCCCCGGAAGCTGCATTCTGCAGGGAGGTGCAGGAGTCTGGACGAGGCAATCCCAGGCAGGATGCAGGGACCCTGGCAGGAGTAACTTCTATGACCTGCTACAGGGGAGGGGAGGGGCAGATTGCAGGCATAGAAGGCAGGAGGCTGCAAAGACAGCCCAGGCCAGTGAGGGTGCCAGAAAGAATCAAGGGGCATGGACCTGTGGGGCAGCTTGTAAGCCGGCACTGTAGGGACCAGGTCTGTCCCTGTCCAGCTGGAGACAAGCAGGGAGCATGGAGGAAGGGCAGCATCTGGAGAAGCTGTGGGGCTGGACCGATCCCTGTTTAAGGCAGGAGAGGCCAAGAGGCTGTGATCCCACGGCTTCCGGTTGTATGGTCTGTGACTTCTGCTTTGGGCTGCAAGGTCTGAGAACCCAAAGGCCAGCGGGAGTAGGAAGATGAGCCCAGCTCTGGCCATGGTGAACTAGGCAGCTGCACTGGCCTTTTCGGGGCCATGAGGCAGGTTGCGTTCATCCATGGCCACAGATTTATTTTGTCACATATTCATGGGATGCCTGCTGTGAGCCAGGCGTTGGACACGGCTCCTCCAAACGGGAGGGCGGGGGGTAACAGATCAGTATGTGAAGTGTTTTGTTCAAAGGAAAAATTTAGCTGGACACGGTGGCATACGCCAGGACGGCAGGGAATGAAAAGGCAGGGAAAAAAGGACTGGGTCAGGTTGTTAAAATTTTATTTCTTTTTTATGCTGGGGCTTGAAGCCAGGGCCTTGTGCATGCCAGGTAGCCCCTGAGCTCTACTCCCAAGTGGGGTACAGTTTTAAACAAGGTACAGTTAAACTCTGGACAGGCTCCCCAAGGACAAAGACTTGGACTGAGTAGGAAGGAAAGGGTGCAAGGCCCCCGGCAGGTGCGAGTGTGCATATTCAAGAAGAGTGACAATTCCGTACTCATAGGGGAACCCTGTGGGACTTTGATTTTTCTGAACTGGAGGGAAAGTTGGGGCACTGAAGAGGGAGACTGGAGCTGGCCACGGTGGGGCACATATGTGATCTCAGTGCATGTGGAGGCTGAGGCAGGAGGGTTGTATGAGCTCAGGAGTTCAAGGCCAGTCTGGGCAACACAGTGAGACCCCATCTCAAATTAGACAAAAAATAGGGAGCAGACCAGAAGTGACTTGGGGGTTAGGATGAGAGTGGCAGGAAGAGGTGAGGAACTGATTTGAGCCAGGTTTGATAGTGAGCTTTGCCCACCCTCAGGACTTGGAGGTATCATGGTGCGGAGAGGGGAGGGTGGCCCGGGAGTCGGCTTGAACCTCCGTGCAGGAGGCTGATGAAGGCGACCTGGGACCCTGACCTGTTACCCTCCCGCGGCCTCAGTGGCACCAGCCGGCCCTGGCCGAGCCTGAGGCCGGTGCTGTCCTCCACTGAGCAATGACCGAGTGCCATGTGTGCCAGGCCCAGTTTGGAGCACTTCCTGTGTGTCTGTGTGCCCTGTCCTCTGCAGCCCTGGGTACAGGACTCGACTCTCGGAACCCACACGCTGGTCCCCCCAGGATCCTTGGAGGTTGATTAGACCCCAGGGCCTTTCATGTCTAGGGCCCACCTAGTACTTTTTTTTGGAGAGAGTTGCTCTGTAATCCAGGATGGCCTCAGATCCATGGTGATCCTGCTGCTTCAGCCTCCTGAGTGCTGGGATGGCAGGTGTGTGCCACTATACCCACCTAGTACATCCTTGTAACAGGAAAATGTAAACAAGGTGGAGAAGGCATGAATTCCACTTCAGGTGTTCTGTAGTCTCAAAAATTGGTCTGGTGAGGCAGCGGTGGTCTCAGGTGCAAGGCTCTGGAATTCCCAGTGCTACCTGCCACACTTGGAGACTAGACCCAGCTAGGACTGTGGAGGGGCCCAAGAGGGAGACCTCATTGTCGAGTTTTGCTGTGCAGGTGGTGGGGAGGACTGGAGGCCTGACCCCCGTGGGGTCTGTGCCCTGGGGTGCTAAGGAGGGGGCAGCTGTGGAGGGGACATGTTAGATGAGGTGGGCCAGGGTGAGATCTGTGGTCCTCACAGCTCTTGGACAGCTGGCTTGGCAGTCTCCACCCCATTGTGCAAGGAGTGGGCCAGCAGGGGGTGGTGCTGGCCCAGGACACTGAGCTTTTGAAGGCAGGGAGATGGCGACGGCCAGCTGGACTAAAGTCGGGGACAAGGGCACTGATGGGAGCGGGGCAGTTAGGGGTCTCGGCTTGTGGACACCTCTGAGCCACACAGCAGCGTCTGGGCTGTGGTCAGGGGTTTTCAGGGCCTGGCTCTGGATCTGCTGCTCCTAGGATCAGGAGTTAGGATCCAAGTGAGGCCATCAGGGGCTGTCAGGACCTTATGTTGAACCAGTGTCCAGTGAATCATCCAGGGAGTCCGAGGTGGCAGGTGACCCACACGTGGCCAGCTGCTCGCACACCCAGGCATCCAGCCAGTTGTGGCAGAAAGCATCGTTCCACTTCCCCGAGCTCAGCATCATCACGCAGTTCTCGCCCTGGTCCGCGTTGTTGGGCTCCCCCGGCTGCCAGTTGCTGCAGTGAAAGTTTTGAGTCACAGGAGCTCGGGGGCGGGGGTGGGGATAGGGGCAGGAGCCCATCCCCTGGAACTCGGACGCCCCGCCCCCAGCCTGGACCCTCCTTACTTGGCCCCCCTTCTCATTACGGGTTGCACCTCAGGGTCCTATGTGGCCCACTACAATTCCATGTCCCCTTGTTCGGGAGCAGCCTCACTTCCTGCCTGCAGCCCGCAGAGGGCTCCCGACCCATCTAGGGAGTGCCCCCCCCTTCCATGGTGCCCCAGCCTGCTGGCCAGTTTGGGCTGGCCCGCCAGCCTGTCTCCAGTAGCCTGGTCTCACGTGTAGTCCAGGGGTTTCCCGTCCATCCAGGTAAACTCCCCCTCTATGTCCAGGTCCCGGAGCCCGATCCAGGCCTTCTCTTTGTTGGCACGTTTGGTCAGAAAGTCCTGGGGGGCGAGACGGGGCTGGAGGACCCGGCAGATCCCACTCTTGGGGTCTCCTGATCCCTTAGTACCCGTGGCTTGTGCAGGGGCTCAGGCTACCTGCTCCTCCTGGCTGTGGATGCTGACCAGCCGACCGTGCAAGTCCTCGCAGGCGTACCGGGCCTGGAGCCAGCGCTTGGGACTCTCACCAAAGTAATAGCACTTCTGCTGGAAACTGACCCACTGCGCAGGGCATGTGTTGCACGTGGAGCCTGCGGTTGCACACGGAGGACAGAGAGGGCAGGGTATGTGGTGGTCTCTCTCCTGGAGTCACTTGGTCTGGGCTAGAAGCAGACTCACCCAGAGCCTAGCATGATGCCACAGACTGCTTCCCTGGAACTCTCACGCTGCCTCCCCCTAGGACCAGCTGCACAGTGGGGCCATGTCAGCCACCAGCACCACTGCCAGACATGTAGGGGTTAGCAGAGTCACTACCAACACCGTCATACTGACACCTCAGGGTTACAGTACCTCAGCCACCATTTCCACCAGAAACGTCTCCAACACTGTTGTCACAGACACCTCAGTCACGCCAGTGCTGCAGACACCTTAATCACCACTACCATCACCATCACCACAAACACCTCAACCACCTCCATCACCACAAAGAGCTCCTATCATTATCACAACTACCTCAGCTGCCAGCACCATTGCCACGGATGCCTCCATGGTGAGCTGAAGATCAACACCAACTCCAGCACCAGCGTGGTCACCGCCTCAGGGATAGCAGCCCCTTACCTGTCACCAACATCATCGCACCCCTTGACTGTCAGGGCCGTCCCGCACATCCCTCCCTGCCTAGCATCCACTGCCAGTGGTATCCCCAGGGCTGCATCCACGGTCAGAAGCTCCTCCACTGTTGACACCATCACTGTCAAAAGCCCTGGCACCTCCATCATGATAGCAGACACATCCCTCCCCAGCAACACGAAGGCCTGGCCACCACTGCCACCACAGACGCCTCCAGCTGCCAGGGCCCGAGGCACGACATGGCCAACGGAGGCACATTCCATGGTAACGACACTTCCAGCGTATGTGCCGATACCCAGCAGGGAGGGCATCAAGCTCCTCCACCACTGTCACAGCGCCTCCTGGTTTACAGCACTTCGCCGGGTGCCAGCTGCACCATGACATCACCTCCTAGCCGGAAGCCTCACCCACTGACCTTGTGCCATACATAAACCTATGCTCCGCAATGGCTCAGCCACCAGCACTGTCACCACAGACATCTCCAAGGTCAGCATCACTTCCTCACCCAATGTTGCCCCTCGGGCTCTGGCTGCTGCCAGCAGTGAGTCGCTGCCGCCCACACTATAACCTGTCCTGTCCCTACCACCCACTGCAGCTGCGTCCAGTCACCAGGGCCACCAGCGGAGCTGGGGAGGGTAAAGGAGGCAGCAGGGATGGGCCCCTAAGTCCCCCACCCAGGGTCCAGCTTCGTCTCTGTCTCGCCTTTTCTCATGGGGGAAGCTCTCAGACCCTATAGTCACCAAGACTCCAAAGGTGGGAGGCTACACCCGCTGTGGCTGGATCAGTTTCCTTTGGCCTTAAAATGTTTCCTTTTGGGGCTGGGGATTTAGCTCAGCGGCATAAGCGCCTGCCTTGCAAGCAGGCGGTCATGAGTTCGATCCCCGGTAAAAGTTTGATAAAAGTTAAAAAAAAGTTTCTTTTTGAGGTGCTGGGGAAGGAAGTCAGGTCTCCCAGCATATCTGAGGCTAAGCATGCTAAGCAATGTCCTAACCCTGAGCTCAACAGGTCCTCAGCTTTGGATAAGTTCTTCAAGGAGCTCTGGGGTCCATGGCAGCATGAGCCCATGCCATGCTAACCAGCCTGGTACAAACACCTCATTAGCCTGGTACAGATGCAGCATTAGAACAGGAAGAGCCTCTGAAGGAAACTCTGAGGGCTGGATGGTGGCACGTGTCTGTAGAACCAGCTACTCTGGAGGCTGAGGCAGGGGGACCTCTGGAGTCCAGGAATTTACAAACTTTGAGCAATATTGAGATGATGATGATGATGATGATGTCATGCAGTCACCTAGAGGCAGCCCCAGAGCTGGGCTCAGACCTCAGGCCATGGGGCCAGATTTGGGAAGGGGTAGGAATGGGGGCATCTGTCAGGGTGAGCATGACCCAGTGCCCCCTTCCTCTTGCCTCCCCAGGAAAGCCCAGCGGGGTTTCTTGCTGGGATCCCCAAAGCTATGCTGTGTCTCTGGGGATGGAACGCTTTCCCACCCAGCAAAGCTGCTTCCTCTTTTACCTAGTTGGGGCAGCTGGGGCTTCCCAGAGGTGGATCAAGACCAGGTCAGCTCTGGGGTGGGGTGGAGTGGGTGGCAGGGCCCTGAATCCCTGGGTCACACCCCGCATGGAAGGCACAGTGATTTCTGCTCCCTCTGCCGCCTGCTGACCCCTCCACCTCTGCCACCCCTGGGAAGGGTGCCGTCACCCTCTTGGTCACAGAGAGTCCCCTCCTGAGACCCCCTGAATCGGGGGTCTCCCTCGGCGGCTGCAGCTGCGGGGACTCTGCTGATGGTGAACGTACTCACCAGCACGTCCCAGCACGCTCCAGCACGTACTCACCCTCAGACATCTGTATCTCCATCAGCAGCTTCGCCACCTCTTCCTTCAGCTTTCCCAGCGCGTCTGAGGCCATGTGTCTCTCGTTCAAGTCTTGAGGAGCCGGTGTGTGTTAGAGGAAGCTTCGCGCTCAGACCCTAGCCGCCGCCTCCACCCCTTGCCTTTTCCCGCCCCGCTCCCGGGCTCACTTTGGGACTTGACGCTGCTCAGATGCTCTTGGAGTCTGTCCAGGTTCCAGGAGAGCTCGGACTCTGGCGGGTGTGAGAGGGCGGGGCTGGGCTCAGGGCGTGCGCGCGGGGTGGGGGGTAGATACAAAGGGGCCCGAGGGTCACCCCAGCCTCACTGTCCCTTGTGGCTCTGGGCCGCTGTTTCCCGCCATTCTCTCACCCCGAGATTTCATCTGCGTCTGTTCCACTCGCAGCTCTTGCACAGTCTGCGACATCAGTTCCGCTGGTCACAGAGGAGGAAGGCGTCAGCCAGGCCCGAGCCTCCCGTCTCCTCCACCCACTCTGGTCCTTAGCGCTGCCCGCTCACCCTGAGTTCCCCGGTGTGGAGGGACACAGCTGCCCCGCCAGGCGTATCCCAGGGTCCTCGAGTTCCTGTCTCCTCCCCTGCAGCCCCCTACAGAGACTCACCCTTTTGTTTCTGGGCCATCTGGTTACTGTGATGTCTTTGCAGTTCCTCGGAGATTCGAGATACTGGAATGGTGGGAGAGAAGAGGTCTCCCCAGGAACCACAGCGGCAGGGCTGTGAGCCCCACCCCAGCCCCGGGGCCAGGGCACCCCTTCACACGGCGCCCCGCTGTGCCTTTCTGTGTGGCATATTTTGGCGAGGGTGGGAGATGGGCACATCCAGGCCGGTGCAGACAGAAGAGAAAGGCCTTGTGGCCTTTTCTCACCCGGGGTGAAATATGAAAACAGTGCACATTGTCGCAAGAAGCGTTTCCTGCAGTTTAGCTCCTGACCCCAAAATCACACCCCTTCATCAGAGGGGGAAACTGAGGCACGAGCGGGTTCCAGCGGCAGTGTTCGCACCCTGTGAGGGGCGTTCTGTCTCCCTGAGGTTTCCCTGTCTCCCGCGGGCGGGGGGGGGGGGAGAGCCTAGGTTGCTGGGTGGACACTGAGGCTTAGGAAGGGGTCAGTGACAGAAGAGGGACAGAGGCGTGTCCCGTTCACCCCCCTCGGTGCCCCTCCGTACCATTCTGGGCAGCGGCGGTTTCCAGCTGTTTAACGTTCTTCAGGGTGTCCCAATCTGGGGAGGAGAGGGACAGGGAAGGGGAGATGGGGTGCAGTGGGTGTCCCCACCCTCCACCCCCCTACATCCCACCCACAGTCGGGGATGCGGGCTTTGGGGGTAATCCAAGATGGGGACCCGGATTGCGGGGATGGGGCCGGCAGTGTCAGTCAAGGTGCGGGGCAAGGGGGGCGGGGGTGGGGTCCTCACGCCATAGGAGCAGCAGGGCCAGCAGCCCGGCCCAGAGCGCTGAGGTCAGCAGCCCGAGCAGCGCCAGCTGCAGCCCCCGCCGGCAGCGCCTCTTCCTGGGAGACTCGAAGAACTCTTCGGGGACTGGCGGGAAGGATGACGGGTGTAGGCGGAGAGGCCGGGCCCCGTCTCTCCCGTCTCCCCAACGCTCGGGTCCCGGGGCGCGGCCGTCCGGAGAGGGACCCCGGCTCGGTCCGTCCCTGGCGCGGTGTCTGCGCGCAATGCAGCGGGCGGAGGAGCAGCTGGGTCCCGGTCCTTTCCGGAGACCCGCCCCGCCGGCCCTCAGCTAAATCGGAGCCTCGAGCGCCGGGCCCCGCCGCTTCACACCCTGGCACCCCGAAGCGCTCCCCGATGCCCGTGCGGGCCCTGGCGCGCCCCTCACCCGGGCCAGGAGCCGTCATCCTGCCCGCGCGCGCGCGCTCCGGGCTCCCGTTGCTCTTGGCCTCCGGCTCCATCACTCCCAGCTCCGGCCGGAGCCGGCGAGTTTTGTGCGGGGAGTTGAGTCACGAAAAGGAGGGGCCCCTGCTTCCCTCTCCCGCCAGGCCCCGGGCCAGGAGCTCCCTAGGTCCCGGTCACCTCCCCACTCAGCCCCCGGGGCTTTTTTTATTTTTCAGAAATTCATCCTGGCTAAGAGAAGGGCTGGGGAGCCCCCTCACTCATCTGTGTGTGCGCGCACAGAAGAGCCCTCTCACCTGAGTACTGGTTTTCATCCATGGCAGCCCTGCTTGGATTCTTCTGGGCACGGGGCGCTCACTACCTGTCCAAGTGGTATTTTCAGTCACACGTCTGGGCTCGGTGGGGACCTAGGTTTCAGCAAAACTTAAAATGAGGCAGCAAGCTCTGGGGGCCAGCCTCGGGGGCTCTGATGACTGTCTTCAGTTCCCAAGCCTGAGACCTAAGTAGGCCTCGCAGCAGCCCGGGGCAGGAACGTGAGCCTGGGAGGTCTGGGGCGAGCTGTAATCTCAGAGCATCCAGCCTCATCCGTAGATAGACAGCGATATTGGTAATTCTTATGCTGCTGGGAGGTCGGGGGATCAGGAGTGAAAAAGTGGACAGCAACCAAGCTACTGCCAGCTCCTTCTGGGACAGCCGGGCAGCCGCGGCTAGGGGGAGCCTCTCTCATTCTTATGGTTCCTTAGTGTTGATAGACCAGCACCGCATCCACCATGGTGCTGTGCGTGGTGCATCTGAATCGCTTCCTCCTCTGTCTCCCACTCTTTCATTTCCCTCGGTCCCCGGATCCTTTCCCTAGCTCCAAAATTTCTACCTCCCTGTTCCCTACCACCTCTCTTCTACTTCGCTCTTTAAACTTTTTGTACTTTAGGTTTCTCATAGAAGAGAAACCATGTAATATTTTTAAGCTCGTGTGCCTGATTTATTTCACGGAGCATTGTAGTCTCAAGGTACAGTTTTCCCATGAGCCACTCACTCTTCCTTCTTTATAGCAGGGTAGTACTCCGTGGTGTATGAACACTACATTTTCTTTATCCACCCATCTGTCGATGGGCATATAGGCTGCTTCCAAGATTTAGCTATTATGAATTTGTTTATAGTGGCTCAACCTTGTTGAACCTCTGTTTACTGCTCTGAAACATGGGTGAGAATGTAGCAGCTGACGCATAAGGTTGTGGCACAGTTGGATGACACACCAACACAGCTGAGGCTTTTGATGTTGTTATGGATTAAAAACTGGTGGTCAACTTAACACCAGTTGAATTAAATCAGCATGGTGCTGAGCGTAGATGTCCACCTGAGGAAAGTCGCCAGCATAAACAGAGACTTGGAGAAGGACAAGCTAGGCATTATGGGTTTCTTTAAGTGTTGCTGTTTGAGCCATTGGTTCTCCTGGAGGAGCTCGTCATGACTAGCTTCCCCAGTGTGAGTTCGACCACTGTTATCAGAGGAGCTTGGGACCTTGTTGGTGAGAGTGGCCGTGGTTCATTTTGGGGAAGCTCTGGTCTTTATATCAAGCATCGCTTCCTGGCTCCAGAGTGGAAGACATGTGCTGTTTAATCTCCAGGATGAGCTCGTCACGCTGGCTTCCTGGCATGAACTCAACTGTTCTGATTGCTAGAGGAGCCCAGGACCTCCGTGACTCTGAGGACGGCTCTGGTCTTTATTATGACTGTGACTTCTTGGCTCCAATGTAGAACACTCATCCCACCAGCACAGCTCCTTCTCCCTGCTGGCATGGACTTTTGGCTTTCACTGCTGACCTTTGGGCCTTCCCACCACGAATCCATAAAACGGACTGGCGTGAGTCCTTCTTGTGGGCTCTAGACCTCCATTGTCATGAGCTCTACATCTTCATCTGGACTCATGCGGGACATTGCTGTGGGATCCAGGCCCTTGGCTGAATATTCCAGGTCTTTAGTGTTGTGGACAGATTTCCTGCACTTTCTTGTGTTTAAGTCTAGGTGACCATCATAAAATAATATAAATTTTCTGTGTCCTGATTCTAATTGTTCCCCTCACAGCCCCTGACAGCAACAGATATTTATCAGGCCTCTACACCTGCTAAAAATGCAGAGACTGCTGCCTGCCCCTCAGTCTCCTCTACCTCCAGCGCACTCAGTGTCCTTTGGCATTAGAGCATTGTCTCAAAGGAGACCAGCCCGGGGTTGATCGCTGGCCGCCCCCCCGCCCCTTGCTGCATGACTGCGACAGGTGGCTCACCCTCTCTGAGCCCAGGGAAGTGGCAGGGTGAGGCAGCCAGGCTCTGATTGGTGGCAGCTCAAGCCCATTCTGCCATCCTTAGGGAGCACAGGGCTGTCACCGTCCCTTAGCCTGAGGTGGCCAGACCTGGGCTGGACTCCAGCTCCTCCCTGGGCAAGTGTCTGAGTTTATTCACTTGTAAGTGGAGCAAACAGCAGTGCTGATCCCACTGGCATGGAAAACACAAAGTAGGTACTCAAAAGTGGGGAGCTGGGGGGATACTCTAAGTCTGCACAGCCTCTCTTGGGGGAACTGAGGCACCCCGAAGGTAAATCATTCACCCACCTCACAGAATGAGGGGCACAGGGTTTGAACCTGGGATGTTTGAGCTGGAAGCCTGATCCCCCTCAGCCACCTGCAGCCGGAGCTGCTGTCAGGATCCTGGCCGCAGCTCCGCAGTGCACCTGTGACTCACGTTCTCTGCCTGGTCCTGCCAGATGGTTGGCTTTACTTTCTCTACTCTGGCACTGTGTGCCTGTCACTGCTGTCACTGTCACCCTACTCGCCCATCACCCACTTCTCTTGCTGAGCCCCCCTGGCCATCATCCTCCCAGGCTCAGCCGGGGCCATTTCTGCCAAGCTCCCCTCAATACCCAGAATCACACTCAACCCCATCCCTAGGCACACGCCGCATCCGTGGTCACCCAGGCCATGCACTCACGTGAGCTTGGAGCCTGTCCTGTCCTGCTGGTGGGCCAGTCACTGTGATCAGCAGGGCCAGAGGGATGCAAAGGCTTCAGCGGCAAAAAATACACTTCCTCCTGTACACCGGCAGCTTCTAGCTTTGCACACTTGATTGTGGGCCGCCTACCCGGAAAACCACAGTGCCCAGCTCTTCCTGAGGCTGCCACAGCTGGGGGAAGTCCGAGCTATTATTACCCCAGTTCTCAGGTAAGCCAGCTGAGTGGAACCCCGGCCGTGCTAACTATGTTCCTAAAGTGCTCCAGGAAGTGAGGGGTAAAGCCGAGATTAGAATCAGGGTCCCAACCAGTGCTAAATCACTGAGCCTCTGGGGAGGCGAGAAAGAGGGAGTGGGAGGAGGAGAAGGAGAGAGATGGACAGAAGGAGACTGGCTTAGCATTCAGGTCAGATATGACCATTGTGTGGTGTAGTGTAATTTAGAAGTGACTCAGGCTGGGAACAGTTAGTGTCCTGCGTGTACTGACAAGTCTGCTTTAAACGACCATTCTAGGAGCTTGACACTTTGCTTAGTAAAGCTGCCTATGAAGGAAGGAGTCAAACCCCAAAGAGGTAAATGAAGTTGCCCAGGACCACAGAGATGACAGAGCTGGGACCTGAACCCAGGCAGCACGGGCTGGGTGTCTGCAGCCCTAACCACTATGTTACCCAGCCTCCTACTGGGAACCTGCTCTTCTTCCCTTGGGGGACTGTTTCTGTAACCCCACTCCTGGGTGGGCCACCCCCTTGTCTGTTATTCTGAGAGGTGCTCACCTGTGTCCCCACGGCCCACTTCTCAACCAAGACTCAGCTGGGCTAGGCCATCCACTATCCACTCTGAGGTGGACAAGGACAGGTGGGATCATCCCTGGATGGTGCCCCTCCAAATAGCAGTGACCGGGCTATTCATTTGTTGCCTGGTGGTTGGCATGGGAGTGGGCAGAGGTGTGCTGCCCAGGGAGCAGTGGCTGAGGACTGCTGGTTGTGTTGGGTACCGTGGGGCTTTGGAGGAGCTCAGGGGAGCCGGGACCCACAGGAGACCATCCTCGGGGCCAGGATAGGTGGAGGCCAGAGAAGAGGCTGTTGAGGGACAAGGCTTCTAGGGCAGCCCCCAGGGGAGCTGTCATCTGGCCCGGGGAGGGGGACTGCAATTGAGGGGATGGAGGCCAGGGCGGCTTGGACAGTGATGAGCTCTTGTGGATGGGTGCAGGCGAGGGCGTGGGCAGTGCCGTGGCCAGATCTGGCCACCCTGAGTTTGTGGACAGTCAGCTCCCGCAGGGAGGAGGAAGAGGGATCTTGGGAGTGAGTTCCTGTCTGGGATGTGGTCAGGACACAGGATGGAGGGCCAATCCTGGTGGGTGGGAAGGAATCTGATCTTTTCCTCTCCCTATCCTTTCTTCCTCCTCCTCTCCCTCCTCCTTTTCTCCTTCCTCCCCTTCCTCCTCCCCCTCTTCCTCCTCCTCCTTTTTTCCCCTCACAGTAGTGGGGATTAAATCCAGGGTCATTGTCATTGTGCTAAGCTATATATATATATATATATATATATATATAGAGAGAGAGAGAGAGAGAGAGAGAGAGAGAGAGAGAGTTTTGCTAAGTCACTAAGTTGCCCATGCTGGGCTTTAACTTGTGACCCTCCTGCCTCAGCCTCCCAGAGCACTGAGATCACAGGTGTGCACCACCATGCCTGTCAGAGTGAGGTGCTTTTGAGCTTCTTGGGCTGCTGCAAGACCTGGTGTCCCAAATGCCCAGCTTCAGCCCACCCTGTGCTTAGCAGCCCCACGGGGTCCTTCCCAGATTGGACCACTGGGTCCCTGCTTGGACTTCATTCAGACTGGAGGATGCTTGTGGGGCCCCAGGAACTGAGCCACATGACCGGCCCCCTCACTTCCCCTCTGCACACTTGGGGAAAAACAGGATGTGGGCCCCGGACTCGAGACTGCTGGTTCTTCTTTCAGGTTTGGGATCGCCCAGGTAGAGCGGGGTCTTGTTCACCGATGTTCTGGATCTGAACCAGCAGGAGCTGGTGTGGGGGGGTCTGGACTGCAGGACCCTCAACAGTTCCCAGCTGGGATCCCAACCCGCCTCAGCCTTGACACCACCGATTTCAACAGCCCAGTTCAACACCCTGGACAGTCCATGGGACTCTGCAAAGGGACCCAGGAGTCCTGGGACCCTGATCCAGTCTCTGCTGGTGTTTCTTCTTCTTCTTCTTTTTTTATTTAAAGAGAAAAAAAGAGAAAGGAAATAAAATAAAAAAAAAACAAAGCAGTAAAAGGGTACAAATAATACAGAATTTCAAGGAAAAAATACTGTAAGATATCACTAGTTAATAGGTTACATATTGTCATCTTTGAAATAGTTGTCCAAATTATAAAATTAAAGCATATAAAGTGAACATTCATACAATGAGATTTCTGCTTGTGTTTCTAAGGGGAACAGAGAGGCATAGGAGGTGAAGGGCAGTAGACACCCCAAATCCAGGGGGGCTTTCAGGAGGAGGAGCTATTGTTTTTGTTTTGGTATTGAGACATTAGCCCAGGACCTTTGCATTAGCAACACCCTTAAATCCTCTCACTCCCTTCTGATTCCGAGAGAGGATTTCAAGAACCCACTACATTACCCACCCTGGGGTCATATTTGTGACCCCCTCCCCTCAGTCGCCCAGAGTGTTGACTTGTGGGGGTACACACCATACCAGGCTCAGGGGGAGTTGGCTTTTAGAGCTCACACTCTTGAGCTTAGGGATGATGAGTCCTTGTTTGGAGAACCCCTGTGCATTTGCAGGGTGTTGAGCACCATTGTTGGCATGTATCAATTAGAGCCCCGAAGGCTGAGGGTCAGTGCTCCCCACCCCCCGCTGACAACTGCTGCCCCTTCAAAGCATGGTTCAT